CCCTGATTTCTAACGAGTTGCCTTTTCAACGTAAAGTCCGCCTTTGATGTGATGACATATGATGCTTCTTCCCATGCAGACCCTTGGAGTAACTCTTTGCATAACGAATAAAGAAAAAAGAATCTAAACATGAGATTTCGAGCAAGTAATGGATTGAGTGGATAGAGCCAAAGCCGAAAGTAGGAAACCCAACACTGAACCTCAGGTTAAATAATTCGAACGCCACCAAGGGAATGAAACAATTAATTGTGGCAAAGGCAAAGCAAACCCCTAATTGAAGAAGGGCCACACTGCAACTAGGGTTGGTTATGAGGTGAGGGAATTTCGCAGCCATTACGAACCAACCTCCCAACTGGAGCCAACAACCTATCCCACATTCCTTACAAAATCCCACCTTCAACGCAATCCTTATCCGACTTCCTCAAAGGATATTCAACGCAAGTCCTATGAGACTTCCTCAAAAGAGTCCTCCAGGAGAGACATACCATTGTCAAGACAGGAAATTTTTAATTTCTGCAAGATTTCCCGGAATATTGAAGCTTCCAAAAAACTTATAACTTATACCCTATTACCAACTATACGGGAACAAATACTGATCACTTGTAATAGTGATCCTGACCTTTTTTTTCACCATGCAAGGAATGACTCTTCCTGTACGTCGAGGACCTCATGACATTGGCTATTAGGGCTGCAAATATTCGCACCATTCTCATATGCTTACAAGGGGGGTCTTTCAGGCAAGCCGCGCTTTTTGGAAACGGTTTCTTGCATATTGTAGGGACGCATGTATGGACCACAAAACCATGTTTCGTTTTCGCTGAACGGTTTTAGTAGTACCAAAAAAGTGGTGAATGATACCCTTGATGGTTCGATCCCCGCGGCGACTAAATTTTGCAATCAAGGTTGGCGGCCACTTGTTGGCTTCAAAATGGTCCTGACGATGAATATGACATCTGATTTTGACATTTAGCGCGATTTGGCACCAACCGTAGGCGCCAACCCAAATGCAAAATTTAGTCGCCACGGGGGATCGAACCATTAACAGTACCTTATGCTTCTTTTTTGGTACTGCTAAAACCGTTCAGCGAAAATGAAACATGGTTTTGTGTTCCCTACATGCGTCCCTACAATATGCAAGAAACCGTTTTGAAAAAGCGCGGCTTGCCCTGAAAGACCTCCCTTGTAATAACCTTCGTATAGCTACGATATACGAAGTGTTTAAGAAACGACAGCGAGGGATTAGAAAGCGATAATCAGAACAGAAATTAATCTAAAAGGTAGAAATAAGATACCGTAAGCAAATTCGGTTCTTCATCGCTGTCTCCCCGAATATAACACCGGGCTCGGAGTTACTCCATCATACCGCCATTTCCACACTGCACAAGAGCGAACACGCCGCTCAACTAGCTGCGCTCCCTCGTGCATGTACAAGCAAGGTATCTTCCGAACAAATCTGAATACATAGAAAAAAATTAGAACGAAGGATAAATTATGGGAAGCCATTGATCACGCCTCAATAGAATTTTCCATAGAAATAGTATTATTTTAAGAACTGTTATGAATCTGCAGACCAAAAGAAGCACGCTTAGACTGCAAAAATGAAACTTGGTTCAGCTTCCAGGACGAAAAACCGGCAATTTCGTTACTTTCTTCCTCCTTGGACATTTACCTCAGGGAAGCTCAGCATGCGGACTGTAAGCATTTCCAGCATGTTCAAATGCAGATGCCACGGCTTGAGCACGATCTCGCACTTATGCATGAGTGAAGCGCGCGTCAATTCTGGCATAGAGAGCAGACTGAAGAATCGACACAGCATACTAGTGTACTTCAACTTCGAAATCAAAATTTCTAGAGAAATTCTGCTGCTGCCCAATCTCAGAATAACAGGTCTTCTGCGTGCAGCCCAGCTTGGTTGCATGATCTGCCGTAACGAAAGCGACGGCATGCATCAATGCGGAGTACCTTTAATAAATATTGCCTGTCCGATGAGCGGTCTCAGCGCAATTCTTCTTGTCCCCATCATAGCCCAGCAGAGTTAGTCTACCACCAGAACAGCGAATGGTAGGTGCCGAAAGAAATGTTAGTAACGATCCGATGAATCCAGGGAACGATACTTCAGAAGATTATTACGAAGATCTCACCTAGCATAAGATCTTCACATCCAATTTGCAGAAGGGAATCCAAAAGTGACAGCGAAGCGACTCCCAGCTGAAAAATTTTGGATTTAAATTTTCTCCATGCTAGCATTAATATAATTCGAAGCTGATAAACCAAATGAGGCCCAACTAGGCGTCATCCGCCAGCTGGTTCCAATTCCAAAAAATTGACGTTCCCCTTCCCCTCTTGAAGGGGTCTCCATACGACTCCTCATCACCACCATCAGGTTAGGGAGGGTCACCCAATGCGATCCCCCCTCCCCACATCGACCGCCACCCTCACCCCCGTGGCTGTTTCTATATCATTTGATTCCGTGACTAGTCACACGCTGTAACTCCGTCACTTTCCCTTCGAAACGGTCGTCGAGAGATGGCATATCGTTTAAAAATGGCAAATATTTCAATTTTTCCCTATTTCGCGCATATTTCTTGAAGTTTTCTCCAAAATCGTCAAAAAAAGACCACTAAAAATGACCTCTCACCCGTAACCACGACCCCTTCAACTTCTACGAATGCGATCCTCCGTTGAGAACTGCGTAACGCACGGTTGACCCTGGGTACAGCAACCCAGAAGGAGGCAACGATTAGGTTACGGTAGTTAGAGACCTACCTTAATAGTTTGACTATCTGAGACTTTTCCCTCAATTTTGACTCATTTGGTCCGCGAAAATGCTGCCTGCTCTTTGTGAAAAACCAATCACCTCTTTCAAAGTGTGAATACCGCGATGCGACCACAAGCAGCATCATTCGTCGCCCTTACCATGCTTCACATCATAATTATAAAAACTTAAGATATATTGTAGCTACCTTATCACCACTTGCAATCCGGCTCACTATCACTTCGATAAGTAACCGACGCTCATCGTCTCTCTCCAACAGAAGCATTCGAATCACGGTGCGAAGAAGAGATGGTTCCGTGACTGTTTCTATACACAACTGGAGATATACTGTAGCCGCCGCAACGCTCTCCTGCTCATCCTGTAAAACCTGCAGTAAAAGGAGTAAGAAATAGAAATAGCTCACGAAGTTCTGACAATCGACAATGCACCTGTAAAAGTGCTGGCTTGACAACGGAGATCAGAAATCCCGAGTAGAAGAAATTGCATATCTGCTCAACAACGGCTGGATGTGCAGCCTAAAAACAATCAAATTGAACTATTGCTCAGATGAATTGAGAAGGATAATAACAGCTATGTAGGAACAGGCTATTGATGATGTTGCACTGCGAGCAAAATATGTACAGGGGGGGGGGCAATAAAAAGACATTTTGTCTCCACTTCCAGATGGATTTAAGCACATTTTGCTCAATTCAGACCGAATGGTTCCAACTTATTATTAAAGAGCGCATTCCATTCTATAAGAAAATCTTATGGTGGCCACCTACGTGGACGGCATCAGAAGAATTTGCCCTGGAAACATGGTGCACTGGTCGAGCTCAATGGGGTCTTCGAAGGATCGTGTACCATAACGACCCTTACTGGAAAGCTAGTTCCGAGGGGATTTGCACAGTGGTAGCTAATGCCTCTAGAAAACTATCCAACATTAAATCGATTCACGAAATTGTCGTAGGGTTCGTGGCTGACTTTACGTGTAGACTCCTTGAGCTGACGCGGTGACAGATGACGTCATATTCTGAAGACGGTGAGGGCAGTGAAGGAGAGCCTGCGTACACTTATAGAGGAACACTTAGGGAATACTCTGCTGAGGAACTCCCGTCAACGACAGCAATCTCTGCGAAGAAAAAAGAGCCGAAGTCCGACATAGGCAAAATGTCTTTTTTTTTTCCCCCCCCCCCCCCCTGTAGTTGTGATGAGTGATCCACCAGTAATAAAACAGAGCAAAAGAAATGCTGGAATCCGTACAGCACCCCGATCGTTGTGCGCATTGGCCTCGTACCTCCAAGAGTTCCTGTTAGCACCATCTTCGTTACCGCAATTATGAGTTGGGGTGCAACAGCTATGTGATCGACCTGAGTGTTCTGGCAGTTTGTTTTTGGCCGTGTTCATAAATAGTGTCATTTACCGAACTCATATATACTAGTTTAAGAACCTAACGCACCCCAGTTTTAATCGTTCAATGTGTCGCCAGTGTTGCTGCTCCTATTAAATGCAACGATTTCTGCGTAAGTTTGTGACACATCGAGATTATTCAGAAAAAGTCCTAGCGGAAGTTGTAAACGCTGGATGGGCTAGATCTCATGAGCTTCTTGGTTCACAATTTTCTCCTTGCTTCTCGAATTTTTGGGCAAGGTGGCCCAGACCACGCCCATTGCAAAAGAAATCTTACCATGCACCTCTTAACTCCTCCTGTTTACCTATAAAACTATCACCTTACTAACCACGACAAGAAGTTATTTAGCAGTCTTACGTACTAATCAAGGGGAGAGATTCAGAGCTGAGACTTGAAGCAACAACCTCAGATGGGTTCATACAATTGCTACTAATCCAGTGAAAAGATGCATGGGCTCTAGTCGAGAAGCTATGAAGTGTTACTGAAGGAAAAGTGGTCTCGAGTAGACGCTATAAGGTGTGGACAGGCACCAACTTAAGTCCATCCCACTTTTGGTCACCTTTGGACATCTTGTGGTCGGCACGCCTCATCCCTAGCCGTGAAGATCACACGCAAAGTGGATTACGACGTAGCGAATAAGATAGCCGATAGATTTAGTAGATATGATGCATGCATCACACTGATACGGCGTGTTCATTTGAACTCGTCGGGCACGTTCCTTCCTCATCTCAAGATGGATTAGAAGGGGTTCTTGTTAAGGGCATCGTAGCGCTTTTCTTCACTTTTTTCATTTTCATTGACCTCGACATCCACATCTTCATGATCGATCGCTATTGCCCCACCATTTTTATCTGGGTTGTTTCAAGTCGCTATAACTCAAGTAAGTGATTGTTTTGAAATGAATCAAAAAATCCACTGACGTGTGCCAAGATGCTCAGAAAAATCGGAAGCAAACGGCTCCCCCCCCCCCCCACGGAAAATATGCCGTCAAATCATATTCATTATGGAGTATATAAAACGTCATAAAAGGTGTTCTAAATAACAAAAA